ACCAGACAGAAACGAAAGTCTTGACCGCCGCCACAGTGACATAGGACAGCGGGTCCTTCTCGGGCCCCCCACAGAGGAGCAGCGTAAGCCTCAGGGACGACCCAGGCTGCAAGGGTCCAAAACAACGGGCCGCTGAGACTCGAAAGGCGCGAAGGGCCGAATTTCCGAGACCCATGATGTGGGCTCCCCACGTCGCCTTGGCGGCAGGCCCCGCCCTGTAAATCCGGCCCGCCGCCCTCCCCCGACCAATTTTCTCCAGCCTGCCTGCCGCGGCGCTAGCAGCAGCGAGACGAGAGGCCTGCGTAGGCACGTGCCTGCGGCGGCCGTCTGTCGCATCACCGCCCAAATCGCGGTGAGTCGAAACGAAAAAACTGGCGTCGAACGGCCAATCCGGATCAGCCAGGAGGGGGAGGAGGAGGAGGAGGAGGAGGAGGAGGAGGAGGAGGAGGAGGAGGAGGAGAAGAAGGGGGGGATGATGATGATGATGATGATGATGATGATGATGATGATGATGATGATGATGAGGAGGAGGAGGAGGAGGAGGAGGAGGAGGAGGAGGAGGAGGAGGAGGAAGAGGAGGACAGGGAGAGTATGAATACGAGTAAGGCCATTCGAGAAGCGAATCCCTCAGGAAACCTACAAGCCTCGGCCAATGATACTTGTGCTCCAATCGAGGGCCGTCCGTGGTCCCTGGGCCACTGTCCTGTCAAGGCCTGCTGCATGCATCTCCTGCGGGTTGAACTAAGCAACGAAGAACGGGGCTGGGCCAGCGGAGGCCTGAGTTGCTCGCTCGCGAAAAGCCCACAATCTTACAGCGCCAAGCCTTGAAACCAGACTGGGGCACCATCTAGACCCATGGGCCCAACCCCTCCTGGCGTGTACCTGGTGACCACCCGACATGTGGTAAGTAATGGCATGTGCAGAAACAGGGGCGACACAAGGCGATCTCCTCCAAAGGGTGGCCCCGGCAGAGGCGGCAGAGTGACAGGCCGCGCGTCGCCTGCCTGCCAGCCGATGGCTTGACTCGAAGGCAATGGATAAAGCAGAGGGGGAGGTGGGCAGTCATGCATTGGCGTGCTTGAGGGCCTGTTGGGCCTTGGCTCGCTGGCCGCCATCGCCTCTAGGGTGGCGAGGGGCAACCTGCGACGGACCAAACCTGCGTCTTTTTGTTCCACGAGCTGGACACGCGCTCGAACGCCTGGAGACACGCGAACTTCTCTGGCGGCAAAGCACTGAGCATCCATTCTGGGAGAGGAGACTCGAGGATCTGCTCGGGTTCGAGGTGAGAGGGCGCCTGCGTGGCGGTAACTGCTGGCACTTCGCGACCCTCGGGGGCCTCCCCCATGCGCCTCCACGTGTCCGCGGTGGCTCCGACAGGAGCCTGACATGACTCGTTGAACCGCCAGTCGACGACATTGCCGTTGCCCGAGACGTCCATCAGGGACCGCGCCGAGAACCTAATGGCCAAGAGGAGCCCCCGGAGCTCCCCGCGAGCCACTGCTTGCGCGCGTCCAGGGAGAGCTCCAAACGCTGTGGCACTGATGACCAGATGTAGAAAGTCGGACAGAACAGTCACGGCGACGCCCGCGCGTCTGAGCCGAGCGTCTCGACTGTCTTCGCCCCTGCTCGCGTCTCCGAAGACCGCGGCTGGATCTTTGAAAGGCTCGAAGCCAGGCCCGCCAGCGCCAGGGGAAGCTCCGCCACGGCAGTGGGAACTCCCAGACCCAGCATCGGGAAGGAAAACTTGGCCCACCCCGAGTAGTCCTGCTTTGGCTGTCATAGAACGCAGAGCGCCCAAGACTCAATCAAGCTCCAGCGGTGCGAGCCCCCCAACGCGAGCTGCTTCGCGAATCTCGTTGAAACCGCAAGGTTGCATTCGAATCGCAAAGTTGTGGCCGCCGTGGCCCCTTTCCATCCTCGCGCAATGTGATCGGCGATGTGAAGAAGATGATGCTGTGCATGCCCCTCCACCGTGGGCTCGTCGGAAACTGCGCGGGGCGCGGGGGGGGGGCCTTCTTGGGGGACTTGTAGAGGGCCCCAGGGGCTTCGTGAGTAACGATCCAACCCCGGAAATCCTGGGATGAGAGCGCCGGGGGCCCGGCGCGCGGCGCGACGGGCAGCTCGCTCGGCCGCGGCGGGTATCTGACTGATGTCGGCGAGAGAAGGAGCGCCGACACGCAACGTGTAACTTGCCATTCGCCCCGCGACGCCCCGCCTCCCAGGCGGCGTCTGAAAGAGGAAAATGAACGCCCGCGGGCTGGCCCGCAGCGACGGCGAAACTCGCGGCTGCCGGCCTCTCCTGCTGAGCTGGCCCGTTCTGCCTAGGAATGAGCGACGGTGAACGAATGGGAACAGCGCTGCTGCGGCCCGGGTCGTTCTCAAAATTCCCCCATCGCAGCGACGTCCGCGACTGTGGGCGACGGCTCCTGACTCCGGGGGCCCTTCCCTGGAACACATGCGCCGCGATGGGCGGCGATCGAATTTCCAGCGGCCTGGGCCCAAATTATAATGCGCCACCAACGCGCTGAATGCGTTCCCCTTCAATGGCGAAAACCGCCGGCCCCCCGATGACTGACCGCGCGTCGGACGCGGAAAGCGGGCGGGGGGCGCCCCGCCTCGGCCCCGCGAGCGCCCCCAGGGACAAGGGACACATGAATGGGAGAAGGGGGGGGCCACTGGTCGCCGAGGGGCCGGGGTCGGGGCCCAGGCTCGGGCGAAGGGCGGGGGGGGGGGGCCGGGGGGGGTGGGGCGAGGGTGGGTGTAAGCGCGACGCGATTCGAGGCTGGCCTGCTCGCGGCAGGGACAGGCGCCGCGCCGCCGACGGGCTCGACCACATCGGGCCTGGCGCCCTGGGGCGCGGGGGCACTGGCGCCGGCCTCGTTGGAATCGACAAAGCCGGGCGGCGCGAACTCAGGCCCCGACGCGGCGTCATCGCGCGACGGCTGAGAGGCCAGCTTAGCTCGAGACCCAGGAGCACTGATTGAGGTATCTCCAAACGTCGCCTCTGCTGCTGCTGCTGCCTGCTTCTCCTTGGCCGCGGCCCCGGCGGCGATCCCTTGCCGGCGAGCTCTGCTGGGCGCGGGCCCTGGGCCAGGTCGGGGAGAGGGCCGCGGGCCTTGGGGGGGCCGAGCGGCGACGAAGAGCTGAGATCCAGAACTCCCGGGGCGAACCTGTAGGCCGCGATGGGGCGTCCGCGGGGCAGCGGCGACCGCGGAGACCTGGCGGTGTAGAGGGCGCGCATCTGACTGACGATTTGGGCGGTTGATCTTGGGCTCTTGTCCAGCGGGGCCAGCGCGTCCGATGTCGGGCATGACAGCGACGCCTTCAATTATCTGGGCGAGCCCCTTGCTGACCAGAACCGGACGATCGACCCTTAAATTGCCAGCGATGAACCGCGGCAAACGAAGTTTGGCGGCCAGTGCTCCAAGTTCGGCAAATCGAAATAAGTTCCGACCTCCGAGACCTCATTGCAGTAGCCGGAAGGGGGGACAACGACGACGGAAGAGCCGCGCGCGTGCCCGATGCCTAGTGCGAGGCCGTCGTGGGGGGAGGTACCTGGATACGAGAAATCGCTGACGACCGCAACCAAATCACTGGGGCGTTAGACTTGGAGATGCTGGCGGCATAATGCCCGTTGTCCACCCGCGTTGGTGTTCCCCGGGGCAGCTGAAGACTTTTGGTTCCCTGTGGCGCGGGCGGCGTTCTCGATCAACTTGAGCTTGGCCTGCCAAGCTCTGTCTTTCCAGGAGATCATGTCGCTCTTGGGCGCGATGCGAGTCTTGGCCAGGCAAAGATAACGGAACGGGATACAAGACGGACAGGTGATGAAATCCCAAGCCTGCTTGCCCATGCAGCTGCTGGCGGTGCCTGCTGCCGCGTCCGCCGCCGCCAACTTGGCTCGCTCAGCCTCGGGGTCGGCGCAAGCGGCGGCGGCCGCGCCACCGTCGGCTGGAGCCTTTGGTGGGGCTGCGGCGGCTGGGCCTGGCCCCGAGCCTGGAGATACCTGACCATCGTCACCGCGCCGACGCTTCTTGGACATCCGTGTGGTAATTTGCTGGTGCAATTCCTTGAGTCTGGCGAACCGCTCCGTGACCTATGTTTTTTGTTTGGTGAGCTGATCTCGCACCCCTTTGACATGTGCTTCGGATTTCCTGAGGTCCTTTTCCTCTGACTCCTCCGCGTAGAGGGGATCGAGGTCCTGGCCCAACTGATAGCGAACAAAGCGTCATCCTTGGTCGCCCCGTTGTCACCCTTGGCATCATCTGGGCCCAATTCTACCTTACTCGCAAAAACCTGTGTGGCGACTCGTCGGGCCTCCTCAGCTGACGCGAGGTTGTAAGCTGTCTCCTTCTCTTTAAACTCTGCCCGTGCAAGGTTGTCGCGCATCGAAGCGACGCCGCAACGGCCTGGCCGTGCTTCGTCGCCACGTGGCTAAAGGCACCGTCGGCCTTCCACAAGGCCTCTTCGGGGGAAGGGCGGGTGCCTCCTGCTCCTCGGCCTTCATGGAGTGGATCTGGGACCCCATCTCTGCACGATGGGGTCGGTGGCCATGTGCATCGCCTTTTCCAAAACCAAAACTCCTATCTGTCCGTGGGTGCCGTTGGGAGTTGCTGTCGGCATGAAGGCCAACTGCTTCTGGCTATCACCATCACCCTGAGCGCTACCTCCCTTGGAAACCATTGCGATTGCATTTCGCGCAAATCCGATGAATGGACATGGGGATGTCGTTCCACTTGTTCCGACCGCAACCTTTGCATGTGGACCACGCTATAGCCATCTGATCTACCAATGTATCTTCTTAACCGGCCGAGAATCACAGTCCGAGGCTGAGGGGGCTGTGGCCTCGGTGCCCGTCAAGCGCCTCGTGACGGCGAGGACCTGATTGGATAATGGCCAAAATGGAAGCTCTCGAACACGACTGCCTGAGAGGAAGAAGGGGAGATGGATGATGGGGAGGGGGGAGAAGGTGGAGGAAGAGCAGAACTAGAGGATTGACTCTCCTGTCAGCGGCGTATTCTGCGTTGAGGCCCATGCCGAACTGGTCCAGCTCGACGCCATTGACCGCCGTCAAGAACGAACCACCCAGCACCGGCGGCTCAGCCTGCTCTTGACGGCGCACGCAAAGGGCGGGGTTGGCGACGTGGCAAGCCCTTTCGGAAGGCGCGGGGGCTTCTCAGAAAGACCCGTCGGCTTCAAATAAGTCTTCTCAGAAGCCGACTGCCCTCTCATAATCCCTTTGCCTTCTTAGAAGGCGGGAGGGCTTCTTATCTTAGAAGACCCCCTGCGCTCTTAGAACCCCCATGCCTGCTTAGAAGGCGTGAGGTCTTCTGAAACATCCCCCATGTACTCTTACACGGCCGCCCTCCCCCCCCGCGTCGCTCCGGACATCGCTCTTGCATCCCAGAGAGAAAATGCTGTGCTCCAGAGGGGCTATGATGTTCTTGTGCCAGGAAGAGCCGTTGGAAACAGACTTTCTCTGGGATTGCATCCATCGAGGGTACCAACTGACTCCCTGATAATGCCTCTCTTAGGCCGTCTCTGGGCCTGGGGATCTCTTGGGGCGGTCTCTTTGAGCGGTCTCGAGGCCCTAGTGGCCGTGTTGGGACTCCAGTCGGCTGTTTGGAAGCCCTCCAGGGGCCCTTGAGGGGCATCTTGGGGCCTTCTGGGTCCCTCTTCAGCCGTCTGGGGCAAAAATGCTCACACACTTCTGAAGACCTCGATCCTCCACGGTCGGCAAGTTTTGCTTAGCGTGTCGCGACGGCGGCCCAGGCAGTACGTTTTGTCCTGCAAACGGATAGCGTGTCGTTCCGCTTCGTGGGGTGGGGGGCTGTGAAAGGCTCCGGACGTCGACGCCTGTGGACCGCGAAGCGGATAGCGTTTCGCGCATAAGCGTGGTGGGCCAGAAGCGGCGGAGCTACACGCTATCCAAAAATCCCCGACCATAACTTCGAGAGCGAAGCGCCGACATACGTCCAGAAAGACGGCCCTACACGAGCACGGCGGTTGGGGTGGAACCTGGGATGTACTTTGGGTCCCTGTGCGATTCATGAGCTTCAAAGCTCGCGGAAGAGGAGGGAAAACAACGACGACGACAAGGAGCAAAAAACGGCTCACTTTGGCAAAGACCTACACACCGGAACAGGCTGGCCAAACGCCAACACATAACTAAGTGTAAGTGTGCATACGGAGAAGAGAAGAAGTGTGAGTGGCGGCGCAATGCGGGGGGCACTAGTCGTTTGAAGGCATGCGCTCCTTAGGAGGCTTACAATGAAACGAATAATAATACCCTTGTTGCTTTCTTCATGAATTGCCGACGGGTGTGAATGTTTACCTGGGTTTGTCGGGCAAGCGAAAAACGTTGTGTCCATGATTTTATAAATTCGGGTTTGCGCCATCGTCTCCAACAACATGTCGATGTGTGTACAATTTTTTAATTGCGCGATTTGTCGCACATGTATAGAACTCTTGTCTACGAAATCCGCGGGCCTGCACTTGAGAGCCACTTACTGCCTGCATTTGGGCGCCAATGTGCAATTGCCCTTTGCATTCTGATCTGATAGACGACCCTGTCAGATCTGCCATGCGCGCCAGGCTGCAGCAACGTGCTGGTCAGCATGATCAAACACTTCTAATCTGCGCTAAAGGATGAAGGTCCCATGTCATCCCAGCTGTCGTCCATTTCTGCAGATGCCCAAGCGTGTCCGAGAACAGTGTTCTGATGTTCTGACTGGTCGCTGTCGGTTTACTTGCCATATTCTGCCATTCCTGCTGGCATATCACATGCTTCCTTAGGTTCTTCAGCAATGCTTCCGACATGCTCCATGTGTTTTTGGTCTGTTCCAGAAACTACCAGAGATGATCGCGTGCCTGTCGATATGCGGTCGCATATTGCTTCGAGCTTGAGAAAATCAGCCACCAATCCATATGGGGGCATGCCATTTCAACTGTCATTTTGATCTGGTCGTCAAGCACCTGGGCTGAAGAGAGAAGGATGAAGCGACCTGCTGTCGAGTCAATAACATTCCGCGGGAGTCTAGGCCATAGGGGTTTAAATTCTTAGGGTTTCGGGGGCGTATGGATCTGGATTATGATGGATATCACTTGGATTATGATGGATACCACTTGGGTGCTGATGGTGGTGATGAGTATGGGTCGGTGATTGTGATGAGGATGATGATGAAGAAGAAGATGATTTTGATAATGATGATGAAAATGATGAGGATGAGGATGGTGTTGATGGTGGTGATGCAGATGATGATGAGGATGAGGCAATGATGATGAGATGATGACAATGTTGAGGGTGATCATTATTCCCTATCCTCCTGTGGTTGGGTTCTCGCTTTGACTAGAGCACTGGTTGGTCCTTCTCCTCCTCATCCTCCTTGTTCTCCTTCAACTCTTCCTCCCGCCTTCCCCTCCTATCCCGTCCGCTTCCGTTCTCCTCTCCACTCCTCTCCTCTCATGTTCTCTTCTCTTGTTTTTTTTATTCTCAGCTGTTATGCCCCGCTGTTCCATGGGAGCTGCCAAAAGTAGATCTGTCGCCACTATGTGAACTCCTGGGGAATCCATCGGAGCGTGAGCCCCACGCGGATTCAAACGATGCCCCGCTAGCCATTGGGGGTTGCCAAATGTAGAATTGTCGCCAGCATCTGAATTCTTGGTGGGTTCAGCGGAGAATCCCAACACGGCTTCTGTGACATAGCGCAAAGTCCGCAGATCGTCGAATTACGATTCCTAAGCAACCACAAACATTCCACACATCTGTGTAATTTCGAGAGAACCCACAACGATGTCGCAAATCTTTGCGGTTCAAGGCTCACAAGAAGATTCGGAAATTCCCAACACAACTCTTTATGACAAACTTTGTGACGGCCCCGCTTGTGGTCACAAAGATTGCCGCGGAACGCTGCGCTGGGATCTCTGAATCTTTGTGATCCCCTGGGAACCACAACGGTTTGCGACATGTTTGTGATTCCCTGGGGATCGCAAGGGTTCGAAGATGATCAACGCAAATTTTCGTGGCAATCGTCGTGACGGCTCCGCTTGTGATCACAACAGTTGTCGCGGAAAGCCGCGCTGGGAATCTTTGAATCTTTGTAGTTCCCAGGAAATCACGAAGATGAGCAAATGTTTGTGATTCCCTGGGGGCCACAAAGATTCAAATATTCCCAGCGCGGGTCTTCGTGGCAATGTATGTGATGTTTGTGATCCCCTGGGAATCACACCGATTCCATCGCCCATGACGCGTGCAAGGTACTTGGCGGCGACGTGCGAGCTGGCATTCCCCACCCACTCGACATTGAGGGGTAGCCTGAGGATCTTCCAGTGGGTCTACTCCAGAGCTAGGGTGTCCCACCTATCAGCGTGAATCAAACGGATTCGCAGATCCCACTGCCACCTTTGTGATCGCACATTGGGCCGTCGCAAAGATGACCCCGACGACCAGCGATGGGAATGCTTGAATGTTTGTGATTATATTGGCGCCGCAACGCTTCCGCAATCAGTGTATTTCACAGCGGATGCTTTCAAACCGATCGTTTTCAAGAAACTACTTGGAAACCCGTAGGTCCCCAGCGTCCTCGTTGCCAACAACAACAGCGACAACACCAACACCAACACAAACACCAATGGTACCACCCACCAGCATTAACAATAGGTAAGACATACAACAATGATAATAATAACCATGCGAAGATCAATCTTAACAACCAACAGTTACACCAACAACAACAACATCACCAACAACAGCAACAACACTCATTTCAATACTGGCCGCTCTTACATGCCTGCGTGTCTTTCATGCTGTATACCCCAACACTTGATACCTGCCCACTTCGTCTTAGATCGAACCCCAGTTTTGGGGAAACATCTTCCTTGTCGGCCACTGACCGAAGTGGAAGGAAACCTCTTGCGAAAACGCCGTTCCTGAATTCTGGGACCTCTCTGGCCAAGGCCCCTCGGAATAAGTCATGACGAAGCATCGAGCGGGAACTCTTGTCATCTGGGCCTCCACCGGCTCGATTGAATTACAAGGAAGTCTTCAGCGAGAACGCCGTTCCTGAGTTTGGGGGCCTCTCTGGCCAGGGCCTCTCGGAGTAAATCGTGAGGAAGCATCGAGCGGGAACCCTTGTCGTCGTAGTTGGGCCTCCACCAGCTTGACTGAATTATGAACTCGAGCGAGAGCGCCGTTCCTGAGTTCGGGGGCCTCTCTGGTCAAGGGCTCTGTGAATAGCCGTGAGGAAGCATCGAACAAGAGCCCTTGTCGTCGTGGCTGGGCCTCCGCCAACTTGACTGAATTGCGAGGAAGTCTCGAGCGAGAGCGCCGTTCCTGAGTTCGAGGGCCTCTATGGCCAGGGTGTCTCAGGTTAATTTGTGAAGAAATATTGAGCGGGAGCCGATGTCGTCGCAGCCGGCCTCCAAGGACACACCTTACAATCAAACCCGCGCTTGAGCGGTAGCCTCGCTCTCAGAGGACTTGCAGCTGGCATCGAAGCGAGAGCGCGCGGATCCGTTTCCGGATATCCGCCATTGTGATTTTCTATAAGTGAATATTCAACAACAACAACACCAATCATTTTAAGACTGTTCGCTCACATCTGGTCGCGTGCCATTCAACACGTATATCCCAGACCCTCGCTGCCCTCCCTTTGTCTTTGATCGTGCCCCCCCTGGGGGTATATCTTCCCTACCTGCCGCGCGTAGTTGGCGCAGCCCCTAAAACAGGGGAAGGCGGGGAGGAGTGAAGAGACATGGGGGAGGGAAGAGGATGGAGTACGAGGGACATTTGCAAGAGGAAGCTTAGGAGCAGGACCGCAACCGGCAGAACCAGACAGGCGTGTCGGGCGGACGGACCCTAACGGGCAGGTCGGGCGGGTGGGCCCAGACGGCCAGGTCGAGTGGGCGGGTCGCTGAAACGTCATCCCATCATGAAGGAAGTTTTGAGCGATAGCGCGATTCCCCAATAAATCGTTAGGAAATGCAAAGCGAGAGCGTGGTTCGTGACTCTTGGGGGCACGGCGCCGCAATAAATGGTGAGAAAATGCAACGCGAGAGTGCGATCCCCGGAGAAATATTGAGGATGTCTCGAGCGAAATCGTTGTT